CTGAAGTTCAGGGCCTATCCCTGGTCGTTTCAGACTAAAAATGGCAACAGCCTTTTTAGCCTGAAACGAAGGGCCATATTCGGTCGTTCATCAGAGCGACCGGCCCTGAAACGCAGGCACCAAACCAGGGTTTTGGGGAACAGCCTATCTTTAGACTGTTCCCATGCCAGCCTCGAGCAGGCTGCTGCACGCCAGCCCCTGGCACACTTCGGCATTGGCAAGAGCTGCCTCCTCGGCCTGCTCGCCCTCCTGCAGTCAGGAGGCAGGCCGAGGTAGTACATAGGACTTCCCAGGCACTTCCGAGGTAGGCAGTTCGGCAGTTGTGTAGTCTTCAGGATTCGGGAGCAGCACTCTGGAGGGAGCGCTGCAGTGTAGAGTAGTAGCGTTAGCTTGTAGTCTTCAGCGCTGGGCACAGTAGGTAGCTGTAGTCTCCAGCGCTGGGCACAGTAGGTAGTTGTAGTCTCCAGTGCTGGACGCCATAGCTAGTTACTACTAGAGAGAGAGCGAGCGAGAGCTTGGGCGGAGGCCAGAGGTACCTACCTGCAGCGCCGTTGCTCCAGCTTCATCTTCGAGGTACCTGCAGCACAGCGCCGACATCACAAGTTAGTACTTGGTTCGCAACAGAGAGAGAGAGAGTTCTTCTTCTTCTTCTTCTTCTTCTTCTTCTTCTCAGTCCACCATCTCTTCTCTCCCTCTCACTTCCGACTTCAGTGCATCTGCAGACTATGAGAGAAGAGATATAGAGCTTGGTGACATTTGATCCAGACTCGACTTTCGGGGATTCAGACATGGCAACGAGGGACTATTTGGGATTGGTGACCAAGACTTGGTGTTAACGACCTTCCCATCTTCTTCCCTCCTTTCGTCTGTCCCTTATCTCTTCGTCTGTGTATGTCTGGACCGCGCGCTTTCTTCCTGTGTGCAGCGCCAGGCTCCTTCACACTTCGTGATGGATACAATGCATGTTAGTCTGAGTTCAAACATTGATTGGGCTAGTTAGAGGTACTCTAGCATTCTGCTTCGTTACTCTGAACTACGTGAATGAAGTCAGTCCTGTCAGGTCAGTCTTTGTATCAAAGTCTTCCCTGCGCTCTTCAGCATCTTTATGTATGAATGGGAATGTGCATTGCTTGACAAGATTCTACTCGTACCGCATTGTCTATTCAGTCCTTTTCATCACATTGCAGATTCTCGGTTTATTATGTACATTGCATATCTGTGCATGTTACTGTTGGTATCGCAGCTTTTGCACATGAATCAGGACTATCTGATCCGACACGTGTGCGGGGATCAAGAAAGCTAGTTAGTCTTTTCTGGTGATTAGGACATACTAGTTAGACCCCGAAATCACGATCTTGACCTTATTAAAAAAAAAAAAAAAAAATCGAAATTTTTTCTTTTCTCGGATTTTATTTTCTCACTATTCTGCTGTGGAAAATCGCTATATCGCAACATCTGAAATTCTTCATTTCGTTTTTCTTTCTGAAAATTCGAAATTTCGTTGTTAAAAAATCCGGAATATATTTCTTTTTGAAAGTTTCGATTTTCTGTTGCATTTCCCGTTACTTAGAACTTCGGAATATCTTCTTTTCTGAAATTCGTTTTGTTGGAAACGGTACGGGAAATACCTCCTGCACGTATTATTTTTTTCAAACTACGAATATTCCCATCGGAATAAATCCAAATAGCTGTTATTTCTGTTCGGACTTTTTTCGCAGTTCTTGGATTCTGTTAGTTGGTTCTATAAATCGGTTGCAGTCTAAAGTCGAAATTTGTTTCGCTTTCAGAGATTATTTCGTACTTCAAGGGAGATTGGGAGACCTACCGAACTTGCAAAAATCGGGATTTTTATTTTTTTTTGTTTCTCGAATTTTTTTTTGCAAAGTTCAAACTTTTCTGGTTTGATTAGTGGCTCCTTATCTAAGTGTGAGTTGGACGATTATCCCACCTACCCCTCCCCACCTACGTTGTTGCCATCTCTCGCCTTGCCGTTTCTGGTTGTCTCCGGGTACCCCTTGTGACGGCATTGGTAAGTTGCCACGTCAGCAGGCCACGTCAGCAGGACACGTCAGCAGGCTACGTAAGTACGTCAGCAGACCACGTCAGCAGGCCACGTCAGCAGGCCACGTCAGCATTGCCACGTCAGCAGCAAGGGATACCACATCAGCAGGCACCGGTCTGGTCTATGCTGTTGCGTTCACAGACAACAGTCATGGACCAGAAGGCCGGGGAAACAGACGAGGCCTATCAGGCCCGCATGTTAGCCTGGAGTACGGAGACAAAGAAGCGGGCAGATGACGCTGCCGCAGCAGCCAAGAAAAGGGCAGAGGATGCCGAACAGGCACGTCTGCTGGTCGTGCAACAACAGCGCCAGCACGATGAGGCAGCAGCAAGGGCTGCTGATGAAGAAAGAACACAGCGTCGTGAGAAGATATTCACCGGAGAGCGGGCGTTACTTACCATGGCAGCAGAATGGCGAAGCGAGGCCGAGAACAGCCAGTTGGAGGACAGCGCAAACAAGATAGCGCTCCTCCTCTCGCATCTCACGGATCTCCTGACAACCTGCATTACATAGCAGGCGGAGATCCTTGGTCCCGACAACTCGGTAGCTGAGCTCCAAGACCGCCTTCAACGGGTGGAGCAGCGACCAGTCGCCGCCGCCGACGCAGGCTCTTCCAACACTGCCGACCGCCTCACCGCATTGGAGATGCACGTCGGCTCCCTCCAAGATGGCGCACAGTTACAGCAGACCGCGACGCAACAATTACAGCAGCGGATCTGCACTACGGCCACCACCTCGAGTCCGGAGCCGAGCGAGACAACTCCTAAGTTCAATGGGCAGGAGATCTTCCACGACTCAATCAAGACAGATCCGATTCCATGGTTTCGCAAGTTTGATCTCACGCTGCAGCTCCACAACGTCAAGGAAAACAAGCACCATGCTTACTTGTACTCTCGCTCAGGGGGCGCGTGTCAGGCATGGTTGGACAACTTGTTGTCCAAGTACGGAGTGGTAGGAGTGGACTTGCACACCATGATCAGCTGGGATGATCTGAAGGCGGCGTGGCACAAGTGGTTCCAGGTGGAGCCGCCAGAGATCAAAGCCATGGACAAGCTTATGGTCCTGGAGCACGGCTCAGTGCCGAGTACAGACTGGATCGCCGAGTACCAACGCTTGACGTCAGTCCCAGACATCCAGATGGGCTTCAAGGCCATCCGCCACTATTTCATCTCGAGGTCGTGTCCGGCATTGAGCAATGCCCTGACGCATGTCGAGGACACCTTGACGACGACGGCGGAACTATTCGACAAGGCTGTGCAGATCATCGTTACGAACAAGGAGGCCAAGAACCTCCGTTCTTCTGCGTCAGGCCCGAGCGGGAACCATTATCGGCCACGAGTGGCCGTGGTCGCAGCGGCAGCGCCGTTAGACCAAACTAGCGAGGCTGCGTCTGCCAGTGAAGGAGATAGATTCGCAGCCGCCCGGGAAGGTGGCCGCGCCGGCAGAGGCCGAGGGCGCGGCAAGCCGAGGACACACACCGTTTCTAGCCCCGGGCCCGGTGCAGCAGCTCAGACAGGCCCATGGACCCTGTATGGCCTCTTCGAGTCCGCATACAAGGCGCGCGAGAGATTCCATTATTGCCTGTGGTGCAACAACGATCTTCATCTGACGCCGATTTGCCCACTGAAGGGCAAGGGTCGACAGGGAAACTGAGCACCGCCGAGAGTGATGTGACGACACTCTCGACGCCTTCGGAACTGGTTTCTTCGTGAGTGACCAGCTTTCATTCCGAGGTGCACGCGGAAGTCGATAGTCCTCCGCTTCTATTTTCTTTTGAGGACTATGCTGCCCGGCTCGTTCCAACGCTGGGTACTCAAGCTCAAGGACAAGGAGTGTGTGCGGTTTCTTCTCCGTCCGGCAACAGCAACATATCGTCTTCAAGTGGTTCGTCACGGGATTCGGCGCGCAAGTTCAAGATAAAGGTTTTGGACCCGCTTACGTCTGAGGACTTTGCATGGCTTCCTCTCCCGGCCACAGGCTGTTTGCCGGGACCGCAATGCGCAACACTTAGCGCTCATCTCCACACTTACCTTTCCTTCTATGCACCACCAACTTCACCGACGGATGACGAAGTCGCGGTGGGGGACATCCTCGCGTATGTTATCAAGGTGGCCCACGAGTTTCGCACGCAGCGGTACGATAACAACAATGCACCGCTCATGTATGTCCGCATCCAGGTTGGGCAAGCATCCTGCAGCGCTTTGCTGGATAGCGGCGCGACTCGCAACTTCATGAGCCAGTCTTTTATGCAAAGAGCTGCCCTTGGCGCAGAAGTTTGGAGAAAGGAAAACCCGACGGCGATCAAGTTGGCGGATGGAAAGACGCAGCAACTACTCGGCCGTTACATCGAGGTCGTACCAGTCTACTTCGCACCTCATGCATGCGAACCAGTGACATTCGATATTCTCGACACGGACTTCGACATCATTCTGGGAATGCCTTGGCTTGCAAGTGCGGATCATACGGTCAACTTCCATCGGCGGACTCGTAACGTTCGCGACGCCTTCGGCGCGGAAGTGGCGTGTACGATTCCTCTACCGCACTCTTCGATCCGGTGCCAAGTGGTGACGRCCAAATCATTCCGGGCGACTTGTGCTTACGAGCAGCCCGAGGAGATCGGCATATGTTTCCTACGGACCGTCGCGATAGCCGACTCTTCACCCACGGACTTGTCTTCAGACCCCCGTGTGGTACGGTTGCTGGATGAGTTCGCCGACATCTTCGAGTCACCTACCGGTGTGGTGCCGGGTCGGCCGATCTCTCACGAGATCATTCTTGGGGCCGGTGCCGTGCCGCCGAAAGGTTGCATCTATCGGATGAGCGAGGAGGATCTTGAGGTACTCCGCACACAACTTGATGATTTGTTGGCCAAGGGCTGGATCCGCCTGAGTAGCTCCCCATATAGAGCACCAGTTCTCTTCGTCAGGAAGAAGAACAAGGATCTACGATTGTGTATCGACTACCCCAAGCTCAATGCGCAAACCGTCAAGAATGCGGGGCCTCTTCCTCGCATCGACGATCTTCTCGAGCGGCTGGGCGGTGCGAAGTATTTTTCCAAGTTGGATTTGAAATCAAGTTATCATCAAATCTCGATTCAGCCGAATGATCGCTRTAAAACYKMATTCAAGACGCGGTACGGGCATTTTGAGTGGGTGGTCATGCCTTTTGGCCTCACCAACGCCCCGGCGACATTCCAGGCGGCGATGACCAATGAGTTCCGTGCAATGTTGGACCGGTTCGTGCTGGTCTACTTAGACGATATTCTCGTCTACAGCCAGACATTGGAGGATCATCTTGGACATCTTCGATGAGTGTTGGAGACGCTCCGCTATGCCAAGTACAAGGCCAACCGCGACAAGTGCAAATTTGTCCAGCAAGAGCTGGAATACTTGGGTCATTTTGTCACACCGGAGGGCATCAGTCCGCTATCGGACAAGATTCACGCCGTCAAAGCGTGGCCGGAGCCTCGGAACGTCACGGATGTTCGCTCGTTCCGCGGTCTTACCGGCTACTATCAACGCTTAATCAAAGGCTACTCCAAGATCGCGGCCCACTTGAACAAGCTTCAGTGCGAGGATAGGCCGTTTGACTTTGGAGAGGAGGCGCGGGGATCATTCCTCGCTCTCAAAGCCGCGCTATTGTTCGCGGAGGTCTTGCGAATATACGCCCCGCTCGCGCCTACACGTGTCACTACGGATGCATCAGGCTATGACATTGGTGCAGTCCTCGAGCAACATGATGGTGTGGACTGGCACCCGGTCGAGTACTTCAGCAAGAAAGTTTCACTCGTGCATTCCATTGACGATGCACCCAAGAAGGAGCTCCTTGCCTTCGTCCACGCGCTCAAGCGGTGGCGGCACTTCCTCCTTGGTCGAAGCCAATTTCACTGGGTAACGGACAACAATCCGTTGGTCTTCTACAAGACCCAAGACACCGTCAACAGCACCATCGCTCGATGGATGACTTTCATCGACTAGCTCGACTTCTTTCCTGATCACATTCCCGGGAAGTCGAACCGTTTTGCAGATGCTCTTTCACGGCGTCCGGATCATTGTATCGCGGTCTACTCGACTTTCGAGATTGACGATGACCTGCGGAACAGCTTCATCCGCGGCTACCAAGCCGACCCCGAGTTTCGCGACAAGTACGCGAATTGCTCCTCTCCTAATCCGACTCCTTCTCACTACCGGATCCAAGAGGGGTACTTGCTTGTCCACACGCGGGGGAAGGACTTTCTTTGTGTACCGAGTGATCCTCACTTGCGTACACGGCTTCTTGGCGAGTTCCACGACGCTCCCGCCACTGGACACATTGGAGTCAATCGCACGATTGGCCGACTTCGCCAGCGATTTTGGTGGCCAGGCCTTCTCGGCGACGTCACGCGCTATTGCGAGTCATGCGAGGTTTGCCGACGCTGCAAATCCCGCAACCACCGTCCGTACGGCGAGTTACGACCATTGCCTGTCTTGTTGAGGCGAAGGGAAGCGATTGCCATGGACATCACCGGCCCGTTCCCCAAGCACAAGACCGGAGTGGATGGGATTCTCACGGTGGTTGACCGACTCACCAAGTTCGCCATGTTCTTGCCTTGTCGCTATCATGCCAAGGCACCGGAGTTGGCCGAGGTTCTGTACGCCGGTGGGATTCGCACCAAGGGTCACCCCAAGGAGATCGTCTACGACCACGACACTCGCTTCATGTCCGGTTTTTGGTTGGTGCTCATCAAGCGATGGGGCTCATCTCTCAAGCCCAGTTCAGCTCGCCACCCTCAGACCGATGACCAGACGGAGAGGGCGCATCAAACCGCACAGGTTCTCCTTCGCACTCTCATCCGCCCCGACCAGAAAGACTGGGTTGAGCGACTCCCGGACGTTGAGTTGACCTACAACTCTTCCATCCACCCGGCTATTGGGATATCGCCCTTCGAGTTTGAGCACGGCTCAGCACTGGAAGGGGTATGAGTGGAAGGCCCCGAGCTGACAGGGCAGATAAAAGGGCTCATTGAATTTGAGTTAAAGCGAAGGTGGAACGATCTCAAACCCCAACTAGATATCTTCCAAACTGATCGAGACGTCAAGCGGGCGATCACGTGCTTTTGCAAGGAGTGGCTGGGAGGACACCAGGGGGACTGGATAGCACAGGTCGAGTGGGGAGCGGACCAGACCGCACCAGTAGGACAGGGACAGTGAGGGACCTCATAGGGACTATCGTCTCGTCTTCAACGATTGGACCAACATCAAGCCCACTTTCCCGATGAGGCCCCCGTCTGATTTCCCAGATCCTTTCCCGCCCCATCCCCTCTCCCTGATAGAAATCCCAGAATCTGATGAACCTGCCCCCCTTGGTGCCCCCCGGGGTGGTGACAGCAGTCACACGAGGAGGCTACAATGCCGCTACATACTTCCCAAGACCGCCGAAGGCCTGGAACTAGGAGAGCAAGTTGAAGTTTGACACCCGACAGCAGGGTGAAGAGGTTCCTGAAAAAGGGGATATTGGTGTGGTCTTCGTAGGTTGTAGACTCTATAGGCTGAAGTGTTCTCAGCAACACTTGGCTCAAATTTGCTCTCAGACTTTTTCTTCGGCCGAAGTCAGAGGATAGCTCCAGTGCGTAAAAAAAGTGTGTATTCTCCCATGGGACGCTGCTCCCCACGAATAGTTTGGAGCATTTTGTCAAAAAAAAAAAAAAAAAAAGGATTTTCAGGGCTGGCCAAAACAGTCATGTCCAAGACTCCAACAAACACTAAGCGCAGCACACACAGACCTTGACCAAAAACACAACAGAGCAAAATAAAAGAAAAAAAAGGTTGAAAAAAATTATCCCCAAATGCACTTTTCAGTGCTGGGGGGCTTATCCAGGGCTGAAAAGTGGGGGTCCCTGCCGCTTGTGTTGAATCAGGGAGCCTCAGGTCACCCTAGGTATCACCTTTACCTGCTCATGATTTCCCTTCCAAGGAAAAGCTGATATTTGCCTTTTGAGCATTTTTTAACATACCTTGCTGATCGTCCAAATCTCTCTCTCTCTCTCTCTCCCTCTCTCTCTCTCTCTCTCTCTCTCTCTCTCTCTCTCTCTCTCTCTCTCTCTCTCTCTCTCTCTCTCT